GAAGGTTAGAAGGACCATTTTAAGCATAATTTGAGAAATTTCCTTAACCAATAAAAGCTCTTATAACTTGTTTATCCCACAGATTTTAAATGTTGGTTTTGTGATGTTATAGGAACATATTTTTGAAATATTTTAGCTTTCGATCGACCACGATCTACGGTTTCTTATTGTGTTCTAGTATGGGCTCACGCCCTAAATCGGCTAGTATACATATGTAATGGATTGATTCTTCGATCGAAAAGGAATTTACTGAAAGAGGGGTAATCAATTTATGTAGAAGGATTTACGTCTACATCGGTAGAAGGATTTACGTCTACATCAGTTATTTAATCAGAATATCATCGTGACATTAGTGTTTATAAGTGAATATTTGACCATCAAGTCATTTTCTTTGTATGGGGGATAGGGTCAAATGAGGCCTGATCATAACGTGTGTAAAAACTTTTGCCTATTTTTGAAGTGATAGAAGAACATTTAACATATTTAAGAGCTCAAAATCCCTATTCGGGGGTACGGTTGTATGTGGGCTATACGAAATAAGGCACCGATTTTAACGATTTGCAATAGGCTTTGTCTTTTTGTCAAAAGAGTATGTGCCAAATCTTGAAAATTGGGATCTGTAGGGTGCATACAAGGTTTACTTGGTCACACAGACGGACGGACAGACGGACATAGCTAAATCGACTAAGAGAGTGATTCTGAGCCGATTGATATACCAATATTTTTGGGTGTTACAAACATCAGCACAAACGCATAATAGCCCCCCCACTATAGTGGTGTAAAAAGTCTTATTATCGACTTTTGTTACAACTTTAGAACCCTAGACAAGCCTATTTCATCATCAGGGCTTGGTTACTCAACAAAGAAATTTAAAACGGCTAAAGAACTCATTTGCAAAATAGTATATCAATTTCATTTTAGTAACACTCCTCGATATAGTAATTTTAAATTACCCCTAAGGTAAGAAAGTTTTATATTTTAGCATTTTCAAAAACAAATTTTATATTTTCGTAATTATTCAAATTTTGACAAGTGTAAAATGTCAAATTAAATATGGTCAGTGGGTCTAGGTAAATATTAAATAATTTCGGATCATGTTAAAAAAAACAACAACGACAACATATTTTATTTTAATTTAACCAAAATGATGACAATATTATAAATGTATTTTCTTCAACCACAAAATATTGTTTCAAACTAATACCTCAAACAAAAACTCATTTTAAATTTCACACATGAAATTCATATTAAATTTAGCTTTCAAAAAAAGAAGAAAACAAAAAAATATGATTAATGATTTAAGGCAACTTGTTACGAAAACAAAAAGTAAAACAACTAAAGTCTATACAGGCAGGCCGACAGACAGACAAACAAGACAAGACATCTTTAAGATACAAATTATAAAGTTTAGTCAATAATCCCTCCAAACACACTACCAGCCAAGCAAAAAAACGAAAATAAAATGAAAAAATCATCATAATATTAATGTTTAAAATTAAACCAAAAAGAGGATTACAACAAATTTTTAAGATAATTTAACTAAATATATGAATTTAAACTGAAGATTACAGTTTAACGCGGTGATTATTTGCAGCAATAAAGTCAACATAATTTCAAATAAAATGTTAATAACAAATGTATTCAAATTACCTTTTAATAAAACCATAGAAATTAAAAATAAACCTCAAGGTTTTTTTAAACAATTGTTTAATTTGCCCCATAAAAAAACCCAAATACCTAAATACTTATTAAATTTAAAACAAATCCATTGCTTAGTTTAAGCCAAATACATACAATACCATGTATTTTTAAAAATTATGGAAAATTTATCTAAAATATACTTAAAGGCTTAAGTTAAAAAAAAAAATAGCAAAAAAAAAAAATACCCAAAACAACCTTGATTACCTGTAATTTTGCTAACAACCAAACATAGTACAATGTCGTAGATACATTTAATAAAAAAATTTACCTAAAATTGAAATGATTTTTACTTGTTTTTTGTTATTTTTTCGGTTAAACTGCTACTGCAGCGAAGCTACTTGTAAATATTAATCTCAATAAAATTGTTAACGAACGAAAACAAAAAAATGATAAAATAATTAGGGTTAACGATTTTATTATTATGTGACATTTTCCTTTTTCATAATATAGTACGAGAGAGTACGACAACGACGAGCATTATTAGGAAAATGTCAAAATATAGTCATAAGTTGTATTATTTTGTTGTTATTACTGTAGCGGTTGTTGTATTTCATGTTGTTATTATTGTTTTGTCATCGTTATATTTGGTGGAAAGAGAATGATAGAATAACGTTTTTTTTAAGATTAAATTGAACAAAGAGAGTGCTTTAAAAGAATAAAATTTTGAAGAATTTGTTTTGAGGTTTCGAAGGACCCATTCATTTTATGTGGTTATTTAAAGAACTTTAAAAGTTACTCAATTGACTATGCCTAGTCTCAGCTATAGTTAATTATATAAAGTAATCTACAGTTTTAGACTATAGACTAGGCTATAGACTAGACTATAGACTAGACTATAGACTAGTCTATAGACTAGACTATAGACTAGACTATAGTCTACTAGTCTATAGTCTAGTATAGTCTAGTCATAGTCTAGTCTATAGTCTAGTCTATAGTCTAGTCTATAGTCTAGTCTATAGTTAGTCAGTCTAGAGTCTAGTCTATAGTCTATCTATAGTCTAGTCTATAGTCTAGTCTATAGTCTAGTCTATAGTCTAGTCTATAGTCTAGTCTATAGTCTAGTCTATATGCTAGTCTATAGTCTAGTCTATAGTCTAGTCTATAGTCTAGTCTATAGTCTAGTCTATAGTCTAGTCTATAGTCTAGTCTATAGTCTTAGTCTAGTCTATAGTGCTAGGCCTATAGTCTAGTCTATATCTAGTCTATAGTCTATCCTATAGTCTAGTCTATAGTCTAGTCTATAGTCTAGTCTATAGTCTAGTCTATAGTCTAGTCTATAGTCTAGTCTATAGTCTAGTCTATAGTCTAGTCTATAGTCTAGTATATAGTCTAGTATAGTCTATAGTCTAGTCTATAGTCTAGTCTATAGTCTAGTCTATAGTCTAGTCTATAGTCTAGTCTATAGTCTAGTCTATAGTCTAGTCTATAGTCTAGTCTATAGTCTAGTCTATAGTCTAGTCTATAGTCTAGTCTATAGTCTAGTCTATAGTCTAGTCTATAGTCTAGTCTATAGTCTAGTCTATAGTCTAGTCTATAGTCTAGTCTATAGTCTAGTCTATAGTCTAGTCTATAGTCTAGTCTATAGTCTAGTCTATAGTCTAGTCTATAGTCTAGTCTATAGTCTAGTCTATAGTCTAGTCTATAGTCTAGTCTATAGTCTAGTCTATAGTCTAGTCTATAGTCTAGTCTATAGTCTAGTCTATAGTCTAGTCTATAGTCTAGTCTATAGTCTAGTCTATAGTCTAGTCTATAGTCTAGTCTATAGTCTAGTCTATAGTCTAGTCTATAGTCTAGTCTATAGTCTAGTCTATAGTCTAGTCTATAGTCTAGTCTATAGTCTAGTCTATAGTCTAGTCTATAGTCTAGTCTATAGTCTAGTCTATAGTCTAGTCTATAGTCTAGTCTATAGTCTAGTCTATAGTCTAGTCTATAGTCTAGTCTATAGTCTAGTCTATAGTCTAGTCTATAGTCTAGTCTATAGTCTAGTCTATAGTCTAGTCTATAGTCTAGTCTATAGTCTAGTCTATAGTCTAGTCTATAGTCTAGTCTATAGTCTAGTCTATAGTCTAGTCTATAGTCTAGTCTATAGTCTAGTCTATAGTCTAGTCTATAGTCTAGTCTATAGTCTAGTCTATAGTCTAGTCTATAGTCTAGTCTATAGTCTAGTCTATAGTCTAGTCTATAGTCTAGTCTATAGTCTAGTCTATAGTCTAGTCTATAGTCTAGTCTATAGTCTAGTCTATAGTCTAGTCTATAGTCTAGTCTATAGTCTAGTCTATAGTCTAGTCTATAGTCTAGTCTATAGTCTAGTCTATAGTCTAGTCTATAGTCTAGTCTATAGTCTAGTCTATAGTCTAGTCTATAGTCTAGTCTATAGTCTAGTCTAAAGTCTAGTCTATAGTCTAGTCTATAGTCTAGTCTATAGTCTAGTCTATAGTCTAGTCTATAGTCTAGTCTATAGTCTAGTCTATAGTCTAGTCTATAGTCTAGTCTATAGTCTAGTCCTATAGTCTAGTCTATAGTCTAGTTTATAGTCTAGTCTATAGTCTAGTCTATAGTCTAGTATACAGTCTAGTCTATAGTCTAGTCCATAGTTTTAAAATAAAGTTTTTTTTAAAAGATTGGTCTTCTCTACAGGGTCTTCTCCACATATAATCTAGTCTTTGGTCCATAGAAAAAGTGTGTTCGAAAGACAACACTTTTTCTATACTTTGTGCGGAAGAAGACACATTTCTATGGAAAAATGTTTTCTGTACAAGAATATGTTCGAAAGAAGATACCTTTTCTATTAAAAATATTCAAAACTTTTAGCTACTAAGATTACCAGAAATCCATCACTAGGATCGTTTTCTAGTTATAAAATTTCTATTCAATTCTAATTTCACGTTCATTTAAACAATTTATACCTTTAAATTACTGTTTTATGATTTCACCACCACTTTTTATCCTGAACATTTCTGTTTTGAATTGTTTTTTTCTTTTTTATAGAAAAAAAAAAAAATAAGTAAATTAAAAAAGAGTTATAGGAAGGAAATTTTGGTAGCAGTAAAACAGAAAACTTTTGTTGTTGATTATATTGTTAATACCTCTTGCTGGCAAAGGACTATGAGGAAGAGCGAGAGAAAACAAACCAAAGTTTATTTAGGTTAATTTCCCTCCAAAAAAAAATAAAATAATATGCCAGCATTATAAAAAAAAAAAAAAATAAAACTGAACGGAACATAAAAAATCAATAATGTTGCTAATGTATTGCTACAGTTTTAATTTTTTTTTTTGCATAAAGGATATAAAATACATACCGGGACTACCCAAATCTGTGAGATTTGCATTTGTTGAGTCTACACCAACAGCAAGACCAGTGGCTAAATGTGTTAGCCGCAACAGCAGGAGACAACACAGCTGAAGGCCAAAAAGGCTAATGATGTTATGGACGTTGAATATGATACCACCACGGCCAACACCACCACTACTAACACCGATATTTCTACTAATGCTACGACGTGAATGGGGTTGATGGCTGCTACTGTTGCCAGTAGTTGCTTTAAGGCTAAAATTTTTACATTTACGGGTCGAGGTTGTTGATGATGATACCGATGATGATGTTGTTGTTGATGTGCAACAGAAATTGTTCGCTGTTGTTGCTGCTGCTGTTTTGCTATTATGAAAACTACAACGAAAACAATTTTGTTGGCAACTGCTACTACTGGTGCTGTTACTACTGCTATTGTTGTTTTTACTACTACTAATAATAATGTGGCTATAGTTGTTGTTGTTGTGGTTGTCGTTTAAACACCTCCTTTGCCGTTGCTGTTGTTGTTGTGTTAATGACGCTGACGATGTTGTTGTATTGCTGCTATTCCCTCGATTTCTAATATTTGTTGCTGCTGTTGTTGTCGTTAATTTTAAACATTGTTGAGCTGTTTCTGTTGTTGTGTAACTAGTGTCATTGCTGCTGCAATAATGTTGATTTTTTAGATTCTCATCTTCATTATCGTTTAAGTTTGTAACGCTTTGTCGTTTTCTGTTGTCGTAATTGTCGCTAATGTTGCTGCTGTGGTTGTTGTTTATGCTGTTGCTGCTGTCTTTAATGTTTACATTATCAGTCCTTTCAATATTATAAATTTTTTGTTGTTTCAACGTTATTTTATTGTTAACATTACTGCCAATACAACAACTATTGCAACTATTTATACTCCTACAGCTGCTGGCAGTCACTTCTGCTGTTGTAGTATTACTATAGTTTCTGTTGTTGTTGCTTTTAAAGCTGTTGTTTACGTAAAACATCATCGTCATCATTTTCCATTGGATTTACTTTTTAACAATGTGATGTTGATTTGATTTTTCTTTTTTTCTTTTGATGATAATGTTGCTGCTGTCTTGTTTCTCCAGCTGCCTTTGAAAAAATTCAAAGGAGAGCTGAATTTTTTGTTTTTATTTCTTTATATTTTGTGCGACTTTTTTGCAATTGTACCATAAACAGCAACAACAATAAATACAAAAGATGTTGTTCAAGTTTTAACTGCTGCTGTAGATGTTGTTCAAATTGATAATAATGTCTCTTGTAGTTGTTGCTGCTGCTACTGCTGGGTTGTTTAGTGTTATTGTCGATTTTATTGTTGTTGTAGTTGTTGCTGCTGCTTGTTGTGTTAGTTTTCTTGTTGTTGTTGTTGTTATAATATGATGTAGATGTTGATAACATGACATCGTTTAATTGCGTAGAAAATTCAACAGCAACATGCAAAAATCTAAAATTATAAAGAAAGGAAAATGTTTTAGTTTTAGTTTTTGTTGTTGTTGCTAAATTTGTGGTTTTATTGAAAATTTGCTTTAACCCTTATTTATCCATTTAGTATTTGATTTAGAAAAATGTTTTAGATTTTTTCTATCGAAAAACGAGTTCAAAAGGAAACTCTTTTTCTATAGAAATATGTGTTCGAAAGAAAACACTTTTTCGATAGAAAAATGTGTGCGAATGAAGATACTTTTTCTATAATAAAAAGTGTTCGATTGAAGACACTTTCCGAAAGAAAATGTCTTTGAATAAAGACAGTTTTTTGATAGAAAATGTGTACGAATTAAGACACTTTATCGATAGAAAATATGTTCGAAAGAAGAAACTTTTCTATAGAAAACATGTATTCGAATGAAGACTCTTTTTCTATAAAAAATATGCTCGAATGAGGATACTTTTTTTATAGAAAAATCTTCTCGTTTTTTTCTATAAAAAATGAAGACAGTTTTCTAAAGAAAAATGCGTTCGAATGAAGACTCTTTTTCTATAGAAAAATGTGCTCGAATGAAGATAATCTATTTTTATAAAAATGTGTTGGAATTAAGATACTATTTTGATAGAAAATGTATACGAATGAAGACACTTTTTTGATAAAAAATGTGTTCGAAAGAAGATACTTTTCTATAGAAAAAGATGCTCGAAAGAAGACACTTTTCCATAGAAAACATGTATTCGAATGAAGATTCTTTTTCTATAAAAAATATGCTCGAATGAGGATATTGGCAGTAATGTTAACAATAAAAATCTGCTATCATTTTTCTATGAAAAATGTATTCAAAAGAAGACAGTTTTCTAAATAAAAATGCGTTCGAATGAAGACTCTTTTTCTATAGAAAAATATGCTCGAATGAAGATACTCTTTCTATAGACAAATCTGCTCGAATGAAGATAATCTTTCTATATTAAAATGTTTTCGAAAGAAGGCACTTTCTCGAAAGAAAATATGTTCGAATTAAGACACTTCTTTGATAGAAAATGTATACGAATGAAGACACTTTTTGATAAAAAATGTTTTCGAAAAAGATGCTCGAAAGAAGACACTTTTCCATAGAAAACATGTATTCGAATGAAGACTCTTTTTCTATAAAAATATGCTCGAATGAGGATTCTTTTTCTACAGAAAAGTCTGCTATCTTTTTTCTATGAAAAATGTGTTCAAAACAAGCCAGTTTTCTAAAGAAATATTCATTCGAATGAAAACTTTTTTCTATTGAAAAATGTGTTCGAATGAAGATACTTTTTCTATAGACAAATCTGCTCGAATGAGGATAATATTTCTTTATAAAAATGTGTTCGAAAGAAGACACTTTCTCGAAAGAAAATGTGTTCGAATTAAGCCACTTTATTGATAGAAAATATGTTCGAAAGTAGATATTTTTCTATAGAGAAATATGCTCGACAGAAGACACTTTTCCATAGAAAACATGTATTCGAATGAAAACTCTCTTTCTATAAAAAATGTGCTCGAATAAAGATGTGTTCAAAAGAAGACAGTTTTCTAAAGAAAAATGCATTCGAATGAAGACGATTTTTCTATAGAAAAATGTGCTCGAATGAAGATAATTTTTCTATATAAAAATGTATTCGAATGAAGACAAATTTTCTATAGAAAAATGTTTTTTAAAGAAGTCACTTTTTCTATAGAAAAATGTGTACGTAAGAAGTCTCTTCCCATAGAAAATCTTTTCTATTATTTCTTTAGAAATATGTGTTGGAAAAAAGACACTTTTTCGATAGAAAAATGTGTTTGAAAGAAGATATTTTTATTATTATTAAGATCTTGACCAAGCATTGATAATGACCTTGAAACTTTTCATTAAACATTCACACATACACACAAATAACTATATCCCCAAACTTTCTCTTTAAACCTTTATAATTGGTGAGTGACACACACACACACACACACTCACTAACACACTTTTAATAGCTGTTAATGAAAAAAAAAAAAACACACACACACTTTATTTAACTTAACTCCCCTTTGACCCCAAAGGTTATCGCTAGGGTTAACAGTTTCTTTTGTTTTTATTTTTGGGAGAATTAAAATCAATACATACGTGTTTTCTCACAATTCTCCATGAAAACTGTTTACGACTTTTTTTTTTTTTTTTGCTTACGATTTATTTAATTTAGTCTTTTTTTGTGGTTCGTGTTGTAAAATCATATACGATGCTTACACGTTTGAGTTTATTAAGGAAATGAACGCAAATTTTACATATTTTTAATACACAACTCCTGTCTCTCTGAATGTGTTTTTTGTTTTGTTTTTCTATCTTTATTTACACCGTGTGCTCACAGTTGTCTATTTATCAGTGACGGTTTGTTTGTCCGTATGTATGTGTTTGGGTTTATGGGTCTAGGAGTCGTATAAGAAATTTTAAAGTTGTTGTTGCTGCTGCTGTTACTATCACCATTCATTGTTGATTTAAGAAAAACTACAACAACAACAACAACAAAATAATAAAAAATAAAAGAAACGTAGTATGTTTATTGTATGCAGTAGTGATGACCTGTTGGTGGTAAACATTTGTATATTGCCGCCGCTATCTTCTTTTTTACTTTAAATATTATTTTTATTATTACTGGTGATGGTTAGTGGTGTGTTAGATCGGGGCTTAAGGAAAAGGTACTATTTTGCGTACAGATTTAATGTCTAGCTAGGACTTAGAAAAAGGGGTAAACATTTGTTTTTCTTAGACAGTTTTTGATATGAAATAGAGTCTTTGTTGGAAGAAGTTGAAGTTGTCTTCGAAGTAAATTTTTCGTAAGGAAAAAGTTTTCGTTTGAAGAAGTTTTTCTTTAGAAAAAGAGTCTTCGTTGGCAAAAGTTGTATAAAAACTGTCTTGTTTGGTAGAAAATTTTCTATAGAAAAAGTGTCTTTGTTAAAAGATGTTTTTCTATAGAAAAAGTGTCTTCGTTGGAATAAGTTTTTCTATAGAAAGTTTCTTCGTTGAAAGATGTGTTTCTATAGAAAAAGTGTCTTCGTTAGAAGATGTTTTTCTATAGAAAAAGTGTCTTTGTTGGAAGATGTTTTCTATAGGAAAAGTGTCTTCGATGGAAGATGTTTTTCTATAGAAAAAGTTTCTTCGTTTAAAGATGTTTTTCTATAGAAAAAGTGTCTTCGTTAGAAGATGATTTTCTATAGAAAATGTGTCTTCGTTGGAAGATGTTTTTCTGTAGAAAATGTGTCTTCGTTGGAAGATTTTTCTATAGAAAAAGTGTCTTCTTTGAATGAAGATTTTTTATAAAGAAAGTAACTTCGTTGGAAGAAGTTTTTCTATACAAACAATTTCTCCTTTGGTTGAAGTTTTTCTATAGTAAAAGTCTTAGCTCGAAGAAGTGTTTTTGTTAGAAGAATTTTTCTAAAGGAAAAACGTCTTTGTCGGAATAAGTTTTCTATAGAAGAAATTCTTTCCTTGTCTCCGTTCGAAGAAGTTTTTTCTATGAAGAAACTGTCTTCGTTGGAAGAATGTTTTTCTATAGAAAATATATCTTCTTTGTAAGAAATTTTCTATAGAGAAAATGTCTTCCTTAGCAGACATTTTTCTTTAGTCGAAAGTATCTTTGTTGGGAGAAGTTTTTAAATAGTAGAAGTGTCTTTGTTCGAAGAATTTTTTATATAGAAAAACAGTCTTTGTTGTAAGAAGTTTTTCTATAGTAAAAGTCTTTGTTGTAAGAATTGTTTGTAATAGAAAAAGTGTCTTTGTTGCAAGAAGTTTTTAATAGAAAAATCGTCTTCTCTTACAGTAAAGAGAAAGTTTCCTCGTTGGAGAAAATGTTTCAATAGAAAAGTGGTCTCCACTCGAAGAGTGGAGAGTGGAGGTTTTTCTGTATAAAAATGGTATTCTTTGGAAGAATTTTTTCTTAGAGAAAGTGACTTCCAAAGAATATGTTTTTCTATAGAAAAAAATTTCCTCATTTGAAGAAGTTTTCCATAAAAAAGTGTTTTCGTTAGAAGATTTTGTTCCCTAGTAAAAGTGTCTTCGTTAGAAGAATCTTTTCCGTAGTAAGAGTGTCTTCGTTTGAATAAGTTTTTCTATAGAAAAAGTCTCTTTGTTGGAAGAAGTTTTTGAACAAAAAAGTGTCCTTGTTTGAAGAAATTTTTCTTCATTAGAAAAAGGGGTTTCCATAGAAAATCTATTGGACGAAGTTTTTCTATAGAAAAAGTGTCTTCTGTTTTGCGGGAAAGAAAAGTGTCTTCCTTAAAAGAAGTTCTCTGTAAAATAATGTCTTCGTTGTAAGAAGTTTTTCTATAGAGAAAGTGTCTTTGTTTAAAAAAGTTTTTCTATACAAAAAGTGTCTCTGTTCGAAGATTTTTTATATAGAAAAAGTCACTTCATTCGATTAATGGAAATGTTTTTCGAAATCACTTTTATACAAAAAGTATCTAAGGTACCGGCATTCATTATAAAAGTCTCTACCATCACCGTTTCAATCTCAAATATTAAATTTTAGTTGAGTTGATTTGTTGTCTTATTGCTATAGTTGTTGTTACTGTTGATGATGATGGTGATGAAGACGACGACGACGACGATGATCAGTAGGAGACATTGT